AAATGTGACTTTATGTATTTTAAAGTGTTTTGTGTCTTTTTGCAACCATGTGCTTAATGAAGTCTTGTGTCTGTCCTGGGAGATAATTGAATTACTTATCTCCAGGATAGAAGACTCTGAAACTGGTTTGGGCCAGAAAGCCATGCTTCATTTAGTCACAAAGGACTTTTTACTAACTTTTGGACCCCTTGTCTGATTTGTGCCATTTTTGAATATGTTGTTCCCCTGAATGGATTGATTGTGAATATATAATTTTATGTGAATGTGATGTATGGTTTTGGAGTTATGAAAGTTGGGTAGAAAGTATGTTTTAACTGTATGTATAATTGAGTTTCCTCTCAGGATAAGGGGAGGGAATATGTGGGATGTAACTGTGATGTGATTGGTTGTTTTGTAACGCCCTGTGGGCTGTACTATGTTTTGTGGATTGTAATAAAAACCAGGCTGGGTGTGCCAGCAAGAGAGTTCCTGTTTTAACCCTCAAAGTGAAGTGTCGTCTCATTATTGGGGGAAGGATTCATTGTATGCTGTTCCAGTTTGACTGCTAGGAGAGTAAACCTATTCGTATGGTTCCTATTCAACTGTCTACAGCATTCATATGCTTGAGAGGATTCATATGCTTCTCCGGTTCGGTGGTTGTGGTGTCTGCTGCAGTGCTGGGAGTCCTCAGGAAGCGCTAGGAGCATCCTTTAACGGAGGTACCCATTCAGGGTGCCAGGTGATCCGTTACAATAATAATAATAATAATAATGTGAAAGTAAAATGAGGTATAATAATATATAATAATAAACATAATGTACAGTAATAGTGAATTTTAATAATAATATATAAACATAATGTACAGTAATAGAGAGGTATAATAATAAATATAATATTACGAAATGTAGTGAGGTACAATAATAATAATAACATAATGTACAGTAATAGAAGTATAATAACTAATAAATATAATGTACATTAATAGTAGTATAATAAATATAATATATACAGTAATGGAGAGGTATAATAATAAATATAATGTACAGTAATAGTGAGGTACAATAATAATAATAAACATAATGTACAGTAATAGAGAGGTATAATAATAATAAATATAATGTACAGTAATAGTGAGGTATAATAAATATAATATACAGTAATGGAGAGGTATAATAATAAATATAATGTACAGTAATAGTGAGGTACAATAATAATAATAATAAACATAATGTACAGTAATAGAGAGGTATAATAATAATAAATATAATGTACAGTAATAGTGAGGTACAATAATAATAATAAACATAATGTACAGTAATAGAGAGGTATAATAATAATAAATATAATGTACAGTAATAGTGAGGTATAATAAATATAATGTACAGTAATGGAGAGGTATAATAATAATAAATATAATGTACAGTAATAGAGAGGTATAATAATAATAATAATAATAATAAACATAATGTACAGTAATAGTGAGGTACAATAATATAAACATAATGTACAGTAATAGAGAGGTATAATAATAATAAATATAATGTACAGTAATGGAGAGGTATAATAAATATAATGTACAGTAATAGTGAGGTACAATAATAATAATAATAAACATAATGTACAGTAATAGTGAGGTACAATAATAATAAATATAATATACAGTAATAGTGAGGTACAATAATAATAATAATAAACATAATGTACAGTAATAGTGAGGTATAATAATAATAATAAACATAATGTACAGTAATAGAGAGGTATAATAATAAACATAATGTACAGTAATAGTGAGGTACAATAATAATAATAATAATAAATATAATGTACAGTAATAGTGAGGTACAATAATAATAATAATAAATATAATATACAGTAATAGTGAGGTACAATAATAATAATAATAATAAACATAATGTACAGTAATAGAGAGGTATAATAATAATAAATATAATGTACAGTAATAGTGAGGTATAATAATAATAATAATAAATATAATGTACAGTAATGAAGAGGTATAATAATAATAAATATAATGTACAGTAATAGTGAGGTACAATAATAATATAAACATAATGTACAGTAATGGAGAGGTAATAATAATAAACATAATGTACAGTAATAGAGAGGTATAATAATAATAATAAATATAATGTACAGTAATAGTGAGGTACAATAATAATAATAATAATAATAAACATAATGTACAGTAATAGAGAGGTATAATAATAATAATAAATATAATGTACAGTAATAGAGAGGTACAATAATAATAATAAATATAATGTACAGTAATAGTGAGGTACAATAATAATAATAATAATAATAAACATAATGTACAGTAATAGAGAGGTACAATAATAATAATAAATATAATATACAGTAATAGAGAGGTATAATAATAATAAATATAATGTACAGTAATAGTGAGGTATAATAAATATAATGTACAGTAATGGAGAGGTATAATAATAATAAACATAATGTACAGTAATAGAGAGGTATAATAATAATAATAATAATAATAAACATAATGTACAGTAATAGTGAGGTACAATAATATAAACATAATGTACAGTAATAGAGAGGTATAATAATAATAATAATAAACATAATGTACAGTAATAGTGAGGTACAATAATAATAATAATAATAATAAATATAATATACAGTAATAGTGAGGTACAATAATAATAATAATAAATATAATGTACAGTAATAGTGAGGTACAATAATAATAATAAACATAATGTACAGTAATAGAGGTATAATAATAATAATAATAATAATAAATATAATATACAGTAATAGTGAGGTACAATAATAATAATAATAATAAACATAATGTACAGTAATAGAGGTATAATAATAATAATAATAATAAATATAATATACAGTAATAGTGAGGTACAATAATAATAATAATAATAAACATAATGTACAGTAATAGAGGTATAATAATAATAATAATAATAAATATAATATACAGTAATAGTGAGGTACAATAATAATAATAATAATAAACATAATGTACAGTAATAGAGAGGTATAATAATAATAATAATAAATATAATATACAGTAATAGTGAGGTACAATAATAATAATAATAAATATAATGTACAGTAATAGTGAGGTATAATAATAAATATAATGTACAGTAATAGTGAGGTATGATAAAAAATGTAAATACAAAAAAATAAGTCCTGTGCTCACTCCCATCACTACTGGGCGGCAGCAATGACTACAATACACATCAGCCCCAATATATAGTAAAAACCAAAGAAAATAAAAAGTTACCTGCGCTCTCTCCTTAAAGGACCACTATTGTGCCAGGAAAACATACTTGTTTTCCTTGCACTATAGTGCCCTGAGGGTGCCCCCACCCTCAGGGTCCCCCTCCCACCCGGCTCTGGAAGGGGGAAAGAGGTAAAAACTTACCTTTTTCCAGCGCTGGGCGGGGACCTCTCCTCCTCCGTTCCTCCCATGCGGCTGAATGCGCACGCGCGCATTCAGCCGGTCACATAGGAAAGCATTATCAATGCTTTCTTATGGACGCTTGCGTGTTCTCACTGTGATTTTCAGGAATTGGGGGAAGGCTGGACCTGGCACCCAGACCACTTCATTAAGCTGAAGTGGTCTGGGTGCCTAGAGTGGTCCTTTAATCCCTATGTATATTTAGACAAATGGAGGTAATTTAGTTGCTCCAATGGCCATTGGAGGAAATGCCCGCCTGCCCACGTCAAAGCAGACTCCCCCTAAGCGGGTCCTAACACTGACCCTTCAGCCTGCTTCCTTGAGCTTCTGGCAAAGATATCTCTAATGAGACAGAGAGGGGTATTTTTATATACACTCCTATATACTTATTAATGCCCAATAGGGAACATATGGGATTGGAGCAACTGAATGAC